TTTGTGGAAGAGCTTGGGATTGCTTATTTACTGGGAAAAAATAAAATCAGGTAGGAAGTAGTCTTTAGGGACACTTACTTGGAAAATTACAACACTAGTACAAGTCAAGCCTTACACTTAAACATTTGCTTATTGAGAGCAAGTCATAAAATCAAATAAAATTAAACATGTTTTACTTTTCTTTCCTCACAAGAACATAAAATTTATGTAGGGGAACTTAGCAGGAAATTTTAAAAAGGTAACACAATTTTCCTTTTAGTAGTCCTTGGGTACTTATGACACAATAGTTTCCACTATTTGTTTGAATGGGGATTTTGGTCCAAAGTTTTGTTTGTTTCTAGTATCTGCTTGTGCCTCCCCCTCTATCAGATCTCTATCAGATTGGCTTCTTCCTGGGCTACCACCTCTTGGTGCTCTGCGGCTTGAACTGCTATAGGAATCCCATGGAGGAGGGTACCCCCTTTGCATAGAAGGGGGAAGCCCTCGTTCTTGTCTGCCAAATGGATCGCGACCACTTGAGTAGAGATCACTTCGGCTGCTTGAGTAACTGTCTCGACTTCTACCATATCCATCTCGTGAGCTGCTGGAATCATCATAGCGACTGCTTCCACCATAAGATGGCGGGGGCCCTCGTGTAGGTGGAGCACTACGTGAGTTACCATAACTCTCATATGAATCTCTGTAGGAACCTCCACTCGGATGATCTGGAACTGATTTAAAAGGTGCTAGCTAGGCACCTTTAATTTATGAGTGTTGGATATTGGATATTGTGGCTCAGCAACCAGAAAAGTAAGACAAGCATAATTCCATAAATCTTTCATACGATGAGCAACTGTAATATTTTTAGAAGTAGGTAGAAGTGAAGAATGGGAATACTGTTTTCTCCGATTTACATTAAAATTGCCAGATCTTAAAAAAAAAAGAAAAAAAAAAACTACAAAGAAAATCATTTTAAGGTTTCTTTAATGTACAGAAAAGTAACAGTTTTTTGAACAGTTTTAAGGATTAAAATTTGAAATACTTTAAAATGCCTGCTTTTAATTGCATACACGAGTATTAGACTCACTGATATAATTCTCAAACTTTAAAATGTCTGCTTTTAATTGAATATACAAGTATTAGACTCACTGATATAATTCTCAAATCTTTGCCATTCTAAAGTTTACTTATACATTTCAAAATTCACTGCAGCCTGTCCCACAAAAGGAAGGGCATCTACACCACGAAGAAATCAGTTGACAGAACAGATAATCTTTGCAAAAATGAGATAAAAAGCCATCAAAACCCCAGATTTCTCTTATTTTGTTATTAATATCAATAACAAAAATTATTAATTTTTTTAAATGTATTAAGTACAGGGTCTACAGGGTCTCACTAAACACATCAGACTTGTGATTCTCCTGTTTTCAGACTCCCAAGTGCTGGATTACAGGCGTGCGCCACCATGCCCACTCTTATTGCTGCATATTAATGGTACAGAATGAGTCATGATGGCATACTGGTACATGCAGTTGACATTTTAATTATTTTCATTCTATTGTCCCCTTTTCCCTCTCCTCTGCACTTCCCCTACCTCCATGCTCTATCTTTGTAAGACTGTGTTCTAGTTTCTTATTTTTTCTCTCCTTTATTTTATTGCACACGTAAGAGGAAGCATTCACATTTTAACTTTGAAATAGGCTTTTATTTATGAAGTAATGCTGCAGAATATCTACCACTTGTAATATAAAGGAGGTTCTATAACTTGAAGCATTTGCCTCTGTACATACCACATAAGGAATATATGTTTTATTTATTTTCTGTGATGCTAGAGATTGAACCTAGGGCCTTGACCATGGTAGGCAAGTATTTTACCACTGAATTACCAGGATACATTTTAATGTTGGTGAAAAATGAAATGTATACATTTATGGCATATGTGTATGTACATATGTAAGACATTTGGACTTCTTTTCCTAAATGAAAATACATAAGTAGATTATACAATTTAGTTTTAAAATTCCTGGTATATACTTGTGGCTTTATAATCTCATTGTTTCCCTTGACTGTTTTTGCTAAACATACCATAATTAAAAATCATTTATAAGAGGTAAAGAAAGCAACAGGAAAGGATATGGGTATACAGAATAGAAAGTAAGCAATAACATTAGTATAGGCTGTGCACTAGAATAGATTACTGTAATTCCAAAGAAAATCCTAGGCATGGTGGCACATGCCTGTAATCTCACCACTCTGAAACTGAGACAGGAAGACTGCCATGAGTTTGAGGCCAGCTTGGGCTACATAGTGAGTTCAAAATGAAGCTGAACTCATTCTGTTTCAAAAGACCAAACCAAAGCAAAAAAGCAAACTAAAGATATTCACCAACACACATTAGGTATAAAAGTTGTTTTAAACAATAGAGCGTGGTTTATACAACCGGATTCTGAAAAAGATATGTAAAACTGAAATGTGGGAGAAAGAGCTTGTAACTTACACAGCAGATAAAAGAGCTATGACATAGTAAGGCGAAGAGGGAAATGGCTTATAAGAACACTAAGTCAGGTGAGGGTGAGTCAGGTGGCAGCAGTGGAATCTGATTATTATTCAAATATGAATCACTTTGTTTTTGTATTTGAATGATTGTTATTTAAATTTTCCATTTAGCTTTTTGATAACTGTTCAGTGTTTGATCTGAGGAGTTACCCTCAGTATATTAAACTGGTCAAAAACAGCAATGTGTCTTTTTCTTTTTTCTTTTTTTTTGCAGTACCAGGGATTGAACTCAGGACCCTGTGCTTGACAGGCAGGCACTTATTCTACTGAGCTATCTCCCTGGGTCCTGTCCTTTTCAATAAAATGTCCTCCAACTAAGCTTCACTAAAGCATTTTTTTTCTCTTTTAACCAAACTTCAAAAACAACGCCTCAATAAAAAGCTACTTTTTGGGGGAGTGATTTGGGATCAAACCGAGTTTTGCCTATGCTAAGCAAGTACTCTACCCCTGAGATAAACTCCCAGAAACTGACATTGTTTAATTTTCCTCTCATTCGTATATATGATTTATAATTGTACTTGAGAGAAATGTTTCTATCATAGGCTCTGAAGCTGCCTCAAAAGTATCAGGTTGCCATCTTGGACAAAGCTTTTAGCTAATTTCTCTAATTCATGTAAGTAATATGGTAAAAATATGGAATATTTGATCCCTGAGGAAAAAAATGGATGATTACAAAATAAGGCAGTCTTATGACTTGGTTGTATACTTTTCTTCACCAGAGAATGTTCACATCAAATAGAAGTGAGGAGTTGCCTGTGGATATTACAACAGATATTACACAATGCTTAATTTTTAGGTGTTCCCTTGCTCACCAGAGACCCATCTGCTGCCTCTCTGTTCCACACCTAGTATGTTTATCAGTTCTAATTAATAATTCCTTTTCTGTTAAATCATATCATCTGTTACATAGATACAGCTTTTCTGATTACTAAAAAGTAAAAACTCATTCCTTACCTAAGGATGTCTTCCTGAAGGTGCAGACCCTCCAATAATGTTGAATCTTACATCGTATCCTTTCTATTTTTATAACCCACTTAGGAGTCAGGATTTAGTTTGTAATGTCAGAAGTTCTGGCCACTGACCAGAATCAGCCATTTCTACATCTGTCTAGATATATGATCCTTTCCTGTGCTTACATTACCAGTAAGAAGGAAAAAAATAGAGCACTCTTCTTTCAGCTTTGTGAAGGATGAATCACATAAATGATAGACAACACCTGGCCAGAACAGTCGTTGGCAGTGGCAGAGATGAGGATGGAGCAATGAAGTCAGAATAAACTAGGAAGAGGTGGAGGAAGCTTATGATGAGAGTAGTGATCTGTACTTGATATGGTTTGGGATAAAATATATTTCTGCATTTATTAAAACACTGAATTTACACTTAAAATTTGTGTATTTTATATAAAACAAATATTTATTTCATAAGCATTGAAATGTTCTGGGCAAACTATGCTGACTTTTGCAGCTTATCTTGAAATGCATCAAAAAATAATGAATGGGGAATGGATACATGATAAAGCAAGGACAGTCAAATAGTAGGAGCTAGGTGGCAGGTACATCAATGATCACTATAAAATTCTTTAAGCTTTGTTTTGTGTATTTAAATTTTTTCACAAGAAAACGTTGAAAAGAACAAAATTAACATCTGGTACAGAGTAAGCACTAGTCAATGAAAGCAATTAATTATTAGCTAAAGAGGGATGAAGAAATCAAATAACTGACTACTAAATTGGTAAAGAAAGGATATTGCTACTTTTCCTATGAACTTTTCATCCTAAATCATGATTTACAGTATTAAAAAATTCCTTGGGCATTTTTATATAAAATCAATTGCTCCATTCTATTACTTTCTTTTAAAAAACCAGAATAACAACACATGATTCAGATGGTTACAGTTAACAGAGGTGACACATGTAGGGAAAGCAATTATTAGAATAGAGTAGGTAGCAGATAAAAAGCAAATTAATTTTACTGTATGACAAATCTCCTTCAAATAGTTTTCTCTTTGAATACTTCTAATGAAGTTCTATTTAAAAAAAACAACTTCCTACACATTATACAAAAAGTCCTATTAACAAATTTAGTTTCAGTACTGAAAATACTTCTTCAATTTGTCATGACTGATGAGGTGATATTAAATATCAGACAATTTTATATAGCTGAGAATTAAATCATGAAGTATAGGTAGAAGAAAATTAACAAGTTGCTGGGCCTCCAACATAATCCATTCCAATGCAGCTAAACAATGAGACAGGACAAACAAAATAGGAAAAAGGAAAAGGAAAGTTGATACAGAATGGCAGGTACTTTTGAGAATAGGAGTCAGAATAATTGTTGCTACCTTTCCTAGCCTTTGTAGCAGTGTAAGATATGAAACAGTAGCTTATATAGATACTAAGACCATCTAAAACGTTCCTTATGCATCTTAAATATACTTACAGTTTCTTTTTCAAATAATTAACTTACTTGATTGTCATTTTCATTATCTTTGATAATCAAATACCTCAATAAATTTAATGAAGACATAATCCTGTTAATTAAAAATATATGTTACTTACAGTAGTTTTATATAATCAACTGCTATTTCAATGCATGAAGGAAGTGAAAACCTTGGTAATATTTTTATAATTACATTTGACATTAAAAACTTCCTGCCACATCTTCCAGAGTAGTAAGTGCTTACTACTCTTGTTTGTGTTCATAAAATGCAATGGTGAAAATTACTATTCTCCCTCAAAACTTGCTATCCTTAATATTTGAAAATATCATCACTTGCTTCCTGGATTTTAAAATTCCTTTCTTTTTATATAAATGCTTATAAGCATTTCTCAACATTCATTCTAGGATTATTTATTTTTTATGTATTTGGTACAGGGTCTCACTATGCAGCTTGGACTTGTGATCTTCCTGTTTTCATCCTCCCCAGTGCTGGGATTACAGGCATGTGCCACATGGCTGGACTCAGTGGCCAGCTCAGTGTGCCCAAGGGTGGGGCCAGTGTGGCATGTGGTGTCCAGGATTGAACCCCGGTCCCTGCATTTGCCTAAGCAGGTGCTTAGTCCACTGAGCTATCTCACCAGCCCTCCATTCTAATATAACACAAGTGAGATTACATGTCACATGGGGATCGGAGACCTGGGAAACAAAACAACACACCCAAATACATAAGCCTCTTATAGTTTTAGTAACTTATGTGATAGTTATAAATCTAGATGGAATTTGAGTACATTAAGGATACAAAAAAGAGTGTTGGTCATTCTCTTTGAAAGATTTTACTGGGGCCGGGGAGATGGCTCAGTAGAATAAGCACTTCCCTGGCAAGCACAAGGGCCTGAGTTCAATCCCCGGTTCCGCCAAAAAAAAAAAAAAAAAAAGATTCTAGTTTGTTTCTATACATTGAAGAACTTATATAAATATGAGAGTTTTAATAGTTTTCTGAATTAACTATAGATTATAAAAACCACAAAAAATTTATTACTTTAGGTGCTTTACTGTTTGAAACTTAGTGATAGTCATCTCACCTATCTGAGTTTTGCAGTAAATCTGTTTCAGCACCCTCTGGGAGAAAGAGTACCAAATCTAAAAGGGAAATCAGCTGTGGTCCTGTAAACCATTTGTTAGGTGTTTTCTGAAAAGCAAAGAAAAATTAGGCAGTGTTTAACGGCATGATAAATAATGCTTTCCTAACACTTTAATACTACAAAAATAATCTCTTACACATTACAGTTTTTTTAAACCGAGAACAATGGTAGTTGCTCTGTTTTCTATACAGAATTACTAAGTATTCACAAATAAAACTTTATAAAATTTTTATTTTTCAGAAAAAGCAGGGGAACTACCCGTTCAGGCCCCCTTCCTGTCCCTCTCTTGGACAGGAGCTTTCTTTCTCTCAATAAATATATTCTGCTCATAAAAAAAAAAAAAAAAAAGAAACATTTAGCAAAACAACATCATTATTAGCTCAATGGATATAATTTAAATGTATAGTAAAGAAAATTTCGGAGGGCCAGCAAGATAGCTCAATGGACTAAGTACCTGCTAAGGCAAGTGTAGAGACCAGAGTTTGATTCCCGGAACCACATGCCATGCTGGTCCCACCCCCAGGCACACTGAGCCAGCCACCAAGACCAGGTATGGTGGCACATGCCTATAATCCCAGCGCTAGGGAGGCTGAAAGCAGGAGAATCACTATAAATCCAAGCTGTGTAGTGAGACCCTGTACCAAATACATTAAAAAAAAAAAAAAATCTCATAATTCAGTTTTAATAGTAGAAATAACACTATACCTTAACACTACAGATAACACCATATTGTTTATTCCATATATAATTAAAATAGAGAATTGACACTTTTGCTGTGTTCTTACCTTAAATGACATGTCAATTTGATTTTTGATATTTTGAATAATAAAGGCCTCCACACCTGAGTGATTACTTGTGTTCAGCAAACACCTTGAAAACAAAATTAGAGCATATGAAATTACACTAAACTACATTACCATTAAATGGTGATAAAAGTTATAAATTCCAGCAGGCCATGTGTTGTTACTTTTAGGAATATAAATCCAGAATGAGTTTACAGGGTGTTTAATCAAGCACAAAGTCAGATCTTTCAAAAAGAAATTTCTGTTAACCCACTTTAAATCTTTTTGTGCATAGTTATAATTTAATATGGCAAGAATTGGCACCAATGTTGTAACTTAAAACCTTCCAGAATTACTGTTGAAGTAAATGAATGCAAAAAGAGATTCCACAACAACTAGGGTTATAGCTGAATCTTAAATGTTCACCAAAAGTTCATGTGTTGAAGAAGTTTGGTCCTGAGATGGCATTGGGAGTGATAGGACCTGTAGAAGGCTGGGCCCTGTGGAATGAAGGCAGATCACTGGGGTGTGCCCTTGAAGAGACTTTGGGGACCCAATTGTTCCCCTGTTTGCTTATTGGCTTCTGTGAGGTGAGCAAATCCTGTGCCACCTGCTTATGTCCTGCTTCTCCACAGATCCAGAAGCAAAAGTATTTCAATTAACTGAACTGAGATATATACATATTCATATATTCATGTAATATGTATATACTATCCAAAATATTTGATAAACCCCTTCTCTACTTGTCATAGATACCTTACAATACTGTTTCCAACTATAGAATTACATGTAAAACTTGATGAAATACTGTATGCTAGTGTTAATTTAGTTTTCAATCAACCACACATTTAGCAATTAGTCATGCTTGATACATACCTAAATAATGTATATTTGCCTTGTGAATCCAACTTGTTAATATACAACTGAAGCATGGCTAAACCTTTTTTCCTCTAAAATGGAACAAATAATATTGTTATATAAAAATGAATAAAGATTAAACTAAATTTCTCACTGTAACTCACTGTTATTTAATCCCCCATAATTTACATACCAATGTCTCAATGGGACAAAGTGTCATTACTTTGACTAAGCTCTGGAAATTAAAAAAAAAAAAATTAAATTGAGATATAAGCAAATTATGCTGACTATAGACAACTATGTAATCAGTAGTGGATGCTAAAAATTCAGAGAGATGAGGTATGAGATTATAAGGATGGGAGATTTACAGAAAAGGTAACATTTATTTTTCCCTTAAGTTTCCATTCTACTATTACATTTACAGGAAACTAACTAGAAGCAAATAATGAAGTGAAGTGTTACAAAGTAGTTTTGAAAATGAATAGTAATTTTCAGTTAGGTTTACAGTGGCAAAAAAAAGCACAATCTAATACATTCATTAAAAATAAACTTAATATATTAACAAAATCCATGTTTTTCTATTTACATATTAAGAAATTTCTCCACTTACAGCTAAGGATATACCTGGATATAATAACAAAGCAGTAGTACTAATAAACCACAGAGGGAAAAAAATGTATGGCAGTCTTTGTAATAATGAGTGTATGCTTCAGGTGGAGTTCTGAGAACATGATTTATAGGACAAGTAAAGGAGCTTAATTTTCTAAAGTCCCTACAGTTATAAAGTATTAAAAAATGTTTATCACTAGATGTGATGGCATCAACTATGGTAACTACTAATAGGTAAGTTTAAATTAAATTTAAAATTCAGTTCTACATTTCAAGTACTGTACTCAATAAGGATACTAGATTTCTTACTATACAATACAAATAACAGAATACTTCTATTATCATAAAAAGTTCTATTTGAGGAAATGACACTAGGGTTTTCAGAAGCAGAGAAATGGGAGAGGAATTGTGATCTATCTAAAGTTCAAAACAGTTAAGGGGCTATTTTAAAAATTGGAATATATATTTTATTTACCTGAGGTACAGTAAGAAAACTCCTGATTTCTAAGTACTGGTAAAGTAGACTATTATCTTCAAGTCTTAATAAACCACTCTCTAGCAGTTCCTACAAATTAAAATATAAACAGATAGGTAGAAGGCAAAAAACTCAATCTTTTTTTTTTTTTTTTTTTTTTTTTTAGTAAAGGGTCTACAGGGTATCATTACATAGATCACACTTTTGGTGATCCTCCTGTTTACGGCCTCCCAAATGCTGGGATTACAGGCTTGCACCACCATGCCCAGTTTCAGTCGCCCTCTCTGTGTGCCCCGGGCTTGGCATGTGGTGCTTGGGATCAAACTATGGTCCCTGCGCCTGCCTAAGCAAGCGCTTTTGTCTGTTGAGCTATCTGGCTGGCCCCATCAACAGTGATATTTGTCCACGTGACTATGTATTTAAATTATAATGGGGGCCAGCTAGGTGGTGCATGCTTGTAATTCCAGCTACAAAGGCTGAGGCATGGGGAACACTGCATGTTCAAGACATACTGAGTTCAAGGCCAGCCTTAACTACAACATGAGGCCCCATCTCAACCAAAAAGAAAAAATAATAAATTATAATGAGAGAAAATAAGTCTTACCAATCCTTTGGACAAAACAGACTCTTCTGTTCTGGAAGAGAATGTTAAAATTTATCAATGACTATAAATCTAGAATGATTCTTTAGCGGAAAAAATTGAAATTTAAAGACTGAAAATACATTATCATGAAGATGAAATTCTATTGAATAATTAGTGAAAAATTTTAATCCACTTTGATCTGTCTTGCTTTTGATCACATCTGACCAAATTAGCCTGCCCAGAGATTGTTTCTATTCTGTATTTAAATCAATACGTATTTAATAGTAAGTGCTAAGAATTACAAATTTTCAGGGGCTGGCCAAATAGCTCAGCATAGTAAAGTGCCTGCTTAGATAGATGAAGTGGCCAGGGTTTGATCCCTGGTGTGCCATGCTGGCCCCACTCCCGGGGCAGGCTGAGAGAGTGATTGAGACTGGGTGTGGTGGTATGTGCCTGTAATCCCAGCTCTTGGGAGGCTAAACTCAGGTGGATTACTACGAGTCCAATCTACATAGTCAGACCTTGTAGACCCTGTACTAAAATATAGAAGTACAATTTTTCCTTCATTTGATAAGATGGGATTGATAAACTGTGACTAATGTTCTGAGAGAATAGTACTGGAAGGTTTTGACTAATCTCAAGCGATTATTCATTTATTTTGCAGTACCAGGGATTGAACTAAGGATCTTGTGCTTGCCAGGCAAGCACTTATTCCACTGAGCTATCTCCCTGGCCCTTCAAGAGATAAATTAAACATGATATAGGCAAAAAAAAAAAAACACCGAAGAGCTGTCTGTTATTCATAAATCTGAAGAAATTATGTATGCCTATTACCTTGTCATCTTTTCCTTTCTTAGTACCTCAGATGAAAAAGCTATACTTGAATGACATCACTGCTGATTATCTAAGTTATAAAATGTGAGATCAAGCTGCCTCTTCCTTTTGATGCAGTTCACAGACTATGTTCATGCAGTGAAAACATGGATGAACTTCCTCCTTAGAAGGAAGAAGTTACAGTGAGATAGAGGTGTTTCATCCATCTTTTTTTGTTATTTTTGAGACAGGGTATCAGTATGTACTTAGGACTGGCCTTGAACTCACAGTGATTCTCCTGCCTCTGCCTCCTGCAAGCTGGGATTACATGTAAACACATACTTGCACCACACCCAGCAATTTACCATCTTTTTTTTTCCATAATTTTATTGAGAAACAAATAGCAATGAGACAGTTTCAATAATTAACACATTGCATACATTCTTCCTAGTGGTTAATTGCTGTACAAGATGCAGACTTGATATCCTATTTACAAACACCATTAGAACAAATCCCTTCATTAAGTGAATGTAACTATATATCTATCCTAACCACTTTGAATACACAGATACAAAATGGATATTCATCGGTATACCCTTTTTTGTTAAGTTCCATCATTTAAATATTATAGGTGTGTAAACTCAGCAAAATATTCTAAAAGAGTCCAGTAGTCCATAATAGTATTGGGTCTTCCGCTTTACTGGCAATGTCAGAAATTGTTGACCTGAGTCCCCTGTAGCTCAACGTAACACCATGGCTTTACTTCTTATGCTTCGTTTTTATACTTTTCTGCTGGATGACCAAGTCTTACCTTTAAGACCAAGGTAAAGCAGGACCTATGCAACAAGAGTTGTATCTTTTGGGTCTGATAAGGTCAGTGAAATCCCCTCAGGATTTATCCTGAGATCCTGTACCTCAGATTGTAGAACCTTTGTCAGTGTCAGCCATGAATTTACCATCTTTTGAAACAAGGTTAACCTCACTCGGAAAGGGAAAAGAAAAGGTTTACTCCACTGTTCTATAAAATAATCAGTTACTCTGAGATCTTTAGGAAAAAAAAAAATCAGTTAATTAAGGGCTAGAAAAGAGAAAGCAGTCTCCTCTGATTTTGACAGACTATTTTAATACTGTTTAATCCTTACATACCATGTAAATGACCTTACCTTTGCAAAAAGACTTCAGTATACCCCATAGTAAACTGCAAAATGTATGAAGGACTAAAACAGAAAAAAAAAAAAAAAAAAAAAATCCGTAAATGTTTACACACACATAAGCATTCATTCATTTATTCATTGTGGTACTAAGAATTGAACCCAAGGCCTTCACCCTGAGCTACATCCCCAACCCTCCTCTTATTTCTGATCTTCAGACAAGGTCTTGCTAAATTGCTCAGTTGTTTGCTCTTGGCTTGAATTTACAAACCTCCTGACTCAGCCTTCCAGAGTGCTTGGATTTCAAGTAAGCATCACCACAAGTAGCTCTCACATTGTTTGAAGCTTTATACACATATTATGGGTTGACTTATCTCATAAACTCCAGTACTCTAAATATTACCTTACTTGGTTTTTAGAGAGGTAATATAAAGTGAACCCTTTGGGGTAATTCAATATGACTAACATCTATTAAAAAGGGAACTTTGGATAGACATGCACACAGGGAGAACACCGTGTACATATGGAAGATAGAAAGGTATAAGCTAACGAACATCAAAGACTGGCAGCAAACCACCACATGTTAAAGAATAGAAATGAGATTCTCTTACAGCAGAGATTCACTCTTTTACAGTGAATCAGAGTCATAGAGTAGTTCCTCTCAGACTTCTAAGTCCCAGAACTATGTAAAAGACAAGAACAGTTCTTACTTTAACTATCTACTTTGTTATAGAAAGAAGCACTTTAATAGTATATGTAGGTTATTCTGGCAATTGAGATAAACTGGTATAACACTGGGTTCCACAAACACATTCCTTATATAAAGTTTTGGACACAGGAAGCACTCTTTGTGTTTACCCACTTATACTGTGAAAGGCAAGGAGTGTGCACATGCACAAATGTATCAATTGAGGATTTTCAAAGGCATGATACTCCTAACAGGTTTGGCCTATGTTTACCTGAAACTCACAGAGAGTGATGCATAAATACACACACACACACACACACACATACACACACACATCACTCTAGGATTTATTTTATTTTTATTTTCCTGGTAGGAGCCAATTCAGTACAATGACTCATGAAACACCAGATCTGCAAGTTTTGGAAGTCAAAAGTGAATCAGATTACTTATGCATGGATGATGAGGGCAATCCATTACAGTAAGACACATGCTGTCATAACAGAAGACCAGCATGAGTGGGTGGCATTGTTGATGTCTTTAACTCTGCTCATACAAGCCAAAGTTCCAGTGACAGTGAAATGGATCAAGAATCGACTGATGCAAAGGGAATGTAGGCCTCCTCGATTGAGATGACAAAGGAAACAGCAATGTGAATACGTATTTGGCAAGTCGAAATGTTGCAAGAGTCACGCAACCAAACAGAATGACCTGATGTCAGATCTAGGTATGAAAATATAGAGAGGGTCTTGGCAGGGGTGAAACACTGCTCAGAATGCCAGCATTGCCATTCAGTATAGGAAACAGTAACAGACAAAATGCTGCAACATGCTGTGAAACACACACACACACACACACACACACACAAAAAGGCTAAAATGCAAGTACAATGTTCTGTATGCACCCATATTAAAAAGTGTATTTATTATGACTCCTCACTAGCTGAACTGAAAGCATGCATATGTCTGCTGAATTTAGCAGGGATCTCTCATGGTAACTGCAGGAATATAGAAGACTTACAGAAAAGCAACAGGTCAAAAGATGGAATGAAAGTATATGTCCTTTTAGATGCAAAGATAATGCTTTCAATTTAAACACTAATCTTAGAACTCAGCCATCAGGTCCTTAATCATAGTAATAAACTGAGTGAAACTGTGAACAGACTTGTTGCTCCCATCTGTGAAACTAATCAGAATGTGAAAATTCAACAACTGGCTTACTGGCGTCCAATTGATGTTCCATTTGCTAACAGAGCACAGTTTGAACAGGTCAGAAGTGTAGGCAAAAACAAAGCAGAAATTCCACATGAAATGTTGCAGTTTCAAAATAGAATTGTATGGTTCAATCTCTGGACTTCACAAAGATTTACATTGACCTCGTCATATATGGGAAAGAAGAGCAAACTGGTACTGCTGGTGTCAACATTTCACCATGATGGAAATATTAATAGGAAAACCTTGACAAACTTGAAACCTGAGATGGAAACTTTCTAAAACAAAACCAAAGGCAGAGTAGATGTCGTTGAAGAGTTAATACTGTTTAATCCTTACATACCATGTAAATGACCTTACTTTTGCAAAAAGACTTCAGTATAACCCATAGTAAACTGCAAACTGAGATTAGATAAAACTGTGTTTGAATTTCACCTATACAATTCTATAAACTTGGGTAGCATCTTCAATTTGTCTGAGCCTGTTATTTTCACTCACTGTACTCATTCATTTGACGCACTGGGGATTAAACCCAGGGGCACTTTATCACACACTGAGATAAATCCCCAGGCCATTTTATTTTCAAGACAGGGTATCACTAAGTTGCTTATGCTGGCCTTGAACTTGTGATCCTTCTGTCTCAGCCTCCTGAGTGGCTGAGTTTACAGGTGTATGCTACCATATGGCTCCTGCTACTTATATTTTACTTTATTAGTATATGTTTTTGATACATAATAATTATACTCATATTTCAGAGAAAGGAGAGAGTGCAAAAAATATACATTAGCAATTTGTTATACTAAAAAATGTCTGGAAGCTAATGGTTACCACTTTGAGTACCTTTTATAATTGTAAAGGCCTAAAATAACCTGTATTAACCTCATATCTCTATAAATTTAGCATTATAGTATTTATACAAGTTTTTCTTTTCTTGATGTACACATTTTTGGCAGACTATATGTGAGTATACATACATACATACACACACGTACATGATCTTGATCATTTTTTATTCTTTTGTTCTCCCCTTCTTTCCCAAATCCCAAATTTACTATTTGCCTGTTTCTTATCATTTATCTTTAATTTTACTCCTTTAATTATTTTTTTTAGTTTCTCATAAAAGCTATGTGATACGGAACTGTCTATGTCTTACTTATTTCACTTAACATTATAGCTCCAAGATCTACTTTTCTAAAAATGCCTCAAATTTATCCTCCTCATGGGTGAAAAAGTGCCATTCTGTATATGTACCATATTTTCTTTATTTCTTCATCTGCTATTGGGAATATAGGTAGTTTCCATAATTAAGCTGTTCTGAACAGCACTGCTATAAACCCAGGCATGGGTGGGTCACTGTAACGTGATAATTATAACTCAGGAACATTTCCAGGAGAGGTGGAACTATATCAAATAGTATCTCTATTTTTACTGTTTTGAAGAATCTCCATAGTAATTCCTCTAATGGCTGTACTAGTCTATATTCCTAAAGATGGGTTCCTTTTTCCCCATATCCTCGCCAGCATTTGTCATTCTGTTTTAGCTCTTCATGATAGTCATTTCATGGGAATAACATGGAATCTCAGTGTTGTTTTGATTTGTATTCCCTAACAGCTGAAGACGCTGAACAGTTTTTCATGTTTTTATGGCCACCTGTACTCCTTTTGAGAAGTATATTCATTTCAATTGCCCTTTTTTTTTTAATTGGGCCTTCTGTGGGGGGGGGGGCTGTACTGTAATGTTTTTGAGTTCTTTATATATTCTAGGTATTAGTCCTGGCTCCTTGTTATATTTATCTGAACACATATTCAGATAAATATAACACGCTCTATTCACAGGATTTTATAAAGATTAGTTCAAACTGTATTAAAGTATAATAACTTACATAATAACCTGCAGATAGTAACCTTTATTGCAATATTTACTTAAAAATATCCCTGGGTGTATTCATAAATGCATGACTTTACACAGAGAAACACATCCAATGCTGAGATAAATACATAATACTTATTATAGATCTTAAAACTCCAGAAGGTGTTATATATAAAAGTATTTATAAAATATTTATTTTTTAAATAATTTCATAAACTAGGGAAAAAGAAGGACAAGGTCAAAGAAATTCTTTTTTTCTTTTTCTTTTTTTGTCTTTTTGAGACAGGGTCTCACTATGCAGTTCATGCTGGCCTTGAACTCACTTTGTAGCCCAGGCTGGTCTTGAACTTGCAGCCATCCTCTTGCGTCAGCCTCCCTAAGCTGGGATTATAGACATGTGCCAACATGCCCAGCTAAAGTAATTCTAATGGAAAAATTCAACTTTACTAAATTGGGTAGTAAAAGTAGGCTTCACTGAGAAAGTGCCATTTAAGGATAAAGCCAGTTCTCAGCATATGCACAGGCCTCAAAGTAAGAAAGTTCACAACACATTTGAATAAGATACCAAAGGTCTGGTATGGAAATACAGTAAACAAGAGGAAAGGCACCGGGAGATGAATAAGCATAATCAAACAGGGACCAGATCATGCAGAAGTTTGTCTCAGGAGTCATGTGAAGGCAATGAGAAAGTGTTTTTAATAAAAAACTTCACTTAAAGCTTCACTTTCTAATGTTGAGAATAGGCTGTATTAAATAGGGGAGTATATGTATTCAGGATACAGAAGTAATTCAGCAAAGAAATAGAGGTAACCAAGAATACCTAGACAGTTCCTCTGCTTATCAGTACTGTACACAGTGGCCTCAAGTTTCAAAACCAAAAATGGTTTAACACCCCTGCCCCCGCCTTTTGGTATTAGGTACTGAAACCAGGATCTTCACACTAAACTGCATCACTAGCCCTTCTTCTTTTTTTTTTTTTGGTGGTACAAGGAATCGAACTCAGAACTCAGGACTTTACACTTTTCAGGGAAGCACTTATTCCACTGAGCTATCTCCACAACCTCTTTTATTTTTTTATTTTGACACGGTCTCACTAAGTTGCTCAGGCGAGGCTTGAGATCTTCCTGCCTCAGCCTCCCAGCATGCTGAGATTAGTCAACACATTACTACTACATTTAACAGATTATCACCAGTATCATTTAAAATAAAAATAACCTTTGTTTATACTTTAATTTTTTTTTAATTTTATTTTATGTGTGTGTGTGTGTGTGTGTGTGTGTGTGGCCAGCTCAGCCCACCAGGGGGCAGGCTGGCTGGCATGTGGTGCTGGGGGATTGAACCGTGGTCCCCATGCTTTGCTAAACTTGTTCTAAGTAGGTGCTTTAGACCACTGAGCCATCTCACCAGCCCCTATACTTTATTTTAAATGTATTAATATAATAGTATGTAAAAGTGTGACACTTCTTTTATAATTCATGAATAAACCAAACACTAATTCTTACCTTAAAACCATTGGCAGCTGATCAATTTTGATGCCCTGAACAAATACTAGATATGCCAGAGAGGCCACAGCATCTGCTAATTGCTTGTTTTCTTCTTCCTCAAATTCAAGGTAATTCCATATCCTTTTTTTCCTTCCATGATTAAAAATAATTTTTGGAAAAGGGTGTCCAATTGCTGATAAAAAACCCTGTGAAATAGATTTAAAAAAAAAAAAAGTTATAGCAGACAGAGTATAAGGGGCCCACTCACCCTATATCCACACACTAATCCCTTCTCCTGCAGTATGGGTAAGACCTATGAAGCTGGCTTTAAACCAGTAAAATATGGGTGCCACTTCCATGATTGGATTATGATAGATGGTCACAAGTGAAGGAAATTTGGCTGATGTAATTAAGGTCCCTAATAAGTTGACTGTTCAGAAAGTTTTTAGAGAAGATGTTAGTTTTCCTTAAAAGCCAGAAACTCTCTTGCTGGCTTTAAAGAACTATGTCACGTATTACAAGAGCATCTATAGAGAGGACTGTATGGCAAAGGACTACAGGTAGCCTCCTATAGAAGCTGAAAATATTCCCTGGTGGGTGGCCAGCAAGAAAATAGGGATTCCAGTCCTGTAACTTCAAGGAGAGAAATGATGCCAACAGCCTGAGGAATGTGGAAGAGGATCTTTTCCTAGTTAAGATTCTGTTAAGAATGCCTGGTAAGACCCTTGAGCAGAGGAGCCAAGCTGTGACTGGACTTCTGGGCCACAGAAACAGTGAGGACAAAAGCCTATTGTTTTAAACTGCTAAGTTTGTGGGAATTTGTTACACAGAAGTAGAAAACAAATACAGAAGCTAATTCAAAATCATATTTTACAAAAGCATTTATATGGTTTCTTGAATTAATTCAGAATCATAATTAAAGGCTCATACACAAGTGAGTTTTATTGACAGTCAAATAACCTAACTTCTGGAAGAAAGAATTAAACAGAAGAAAATCCTTTCACACATAAATAAATAAATATTCAGACAGAGACAGAAAGAGTGGAGGCTGTCAAGTGATAAAGAGGAGAGAAAAAGAAGTGAGTGGGAACAGTGTTTTAGGTGGAAGATTAAAATTTTCTTGAGATGGATAATGGTGATAGTTGTACAGCAGTGTGACTGTATTTAATGGCACTGAACTGTATGTTTAAAAGTAGGTTAGTTAACTTTATGTTATGTATATTTTACACATTTTTTTTTCAAGTGCTTCAAGGATATTTGCAAGTAAATCAACTTCTCAGATTAAGTCTAACCTAAGATCAGTGCCTCATTGACCACTGCCTGCCTCAATATGAAAGAACACTGGTCAGCACACAGGGCCTGAAGGCCTGAGGAAAGTGTCAAACCTACCGCCTGTAGGCTGCTTGCCCTTTATTAAAAAAGTTATAAGGCCTGGGATATAGCTCAGTGGCACAGTGTCTGCCTGGCAAGCACAAGGTCCTGAGTTTCATTACTGGTAAATTTCATTTCTGGTACCAAAGGAAAAAAGTTGTAATAACAGATAAAAACAATCTTGTTACTCATATATAACAACTATATTATATATTTTATATGCATCCAAGACAATTTTTTATTCAGTGCCCTAGAGGTGAGCCAAAACACCCATGTGACATTTCAAGTCACGTAGTTTCTCAAGTCAGCCTCTCCAGTGCTGGGATTACACGTGCAGTTTTGGTGGCTGGCATGGTGTACCCAGGGTTCCAGGGTCAGCATGGCATGTGGTACCAGGGATCAAACCTGGGTCACTGTACTTGCCAGGCAGGCGCTTAGACTGCCGAGCTATTTTCCCAACCCCTCTTCTACTATTTCTAATTCTAGTATATTAGAAAGCACCTGTCTTTTAATCTACTGAAATTAAAACAACTGTGGGGGGGAAGGTGTCAGAGTCTCACTGTACTGTCCAAGCTGCGCTGAACTTGTGATCTTCCTGCTTCAACCTGTTAGATAGCAAGGATTATCAGTATGTACCACAATACCTAGGCTCACGGGAAATGGCTTTTGAGTTTTGGCTCTACTACTTACTAGATAGGTTAATCTCTCTAAGCGTCAGTTTCCTTATCCAGAAAAATGACACAATACTTACATCCAATATTATTGAGTAGTTCCAAAAATATTTAAGGTCATAACAAACTACCCTATAAAAGTTAAAAGGAAATGAATGGCAGCAACAGCTAAAGCAAAATAAATACTGACCTTCTACATATTCACTCTTTTATTCAGTATCACTTTAGTTGTAGGTACGAGGCCTGACACTGTAGTGAATTACAAAGCCAAATAATATTTCCCCAACTTTAGGAAGGAGAAATCCGCTGACCTCAGATAGACCCATTAGTCATTTCAGAACACAGAAAGGAACCAGGGAAAATAATCTTCGGGGAAAAATACTGCTTTGTAGTTACTAGCTGCTAACTATATACTGTTACGCTGATTTTCAAAGCCATACATTCTTGTTATAGCTGAAAGAAAAAGTATACTGTACTCAGATTCCAAATGTCCTCTTAATCATGAAGCTTTTTTTTCAGTCAGTGTAACATGTGTTTTGTTTTTGTTTGTTGTTCCCAGAGGAAAGTACACCTTTTAAAAAATCATTGTACATAACTAGATTCTTAGCAAGCTCAAGGCCTGAGTTCAATCCCCAGTTCCGCCAAACAAAAAAAAAAAAAAAAGAAAAAGAAAAATCATAACTAGATTCTACAGTGGTGCTGTGCATATCAGATCTCTACAGCTATGGTCATAGTGAAATGCTAATATACTACCACAGTTTTTCACCATCTCTTTCCTCTTCCCTCAATACTCTAAACCTTTCCCAGTTTCCTGAAGACTTTTACTTAATCCTCACTCCTCTCTTTTCATTCTCTATGTGTAGTACTGAGTTTACACCTAGGATGTTCTACCACTGAGATATATCTTCAGCCTAATACATTTTTAAATTGTGAGACAGGGTCTTGCTAAGTTGTCTATATGAGACTTAAATTTTCAATTCCCCTGCCTCAGCCTTCTTCAGGACTGGGATTACAGGATGTATCACTGCACCGGGCTTCTTCTCTTATCCTTCATCCTATAACCAACTGTTTGCTCTTGGGCCCCATTACTGTATTTCAGATATCCCATAAATATTTTACTTTTCTCCTCTAATAGTTTATATCCTATCAGCCTATGAACATGCTCAAGTCTTCTCACCTTTCCCATTATGTTTCACCTGCTGGCCCATGTTTTCTGGCCATAGCCAGTTTCCTTCTTACTCATCCAAATTTTCATTTTGTTTTGCTTTGGTTTTTTGAGACAAGGCCTCATTATGTAGTCCAGACTGGCCTTGAACTCACTAGCCAGTTCTTGCTGGCCAGTTCAAACTCACAATCTTCCTACCTTAGCCTCCTAAGTACTGGGATTTCATCCAAACTCTTTTAAAGAATAACATATACAAACCAGGGAATGGCAGCATACTTTGTTATCAGGAGATTAGCTACTCAGGAGGCTGGAGCAAGAGGATCACAAATGTGAGGCTAGCCCGGACAACTTAGTGGGACCTGGTCTTAAAATAAAGGACTTGGGATGTAGCTCAATGGTAGAGAGCTTGCCTAGACATGCAACCTTTATGTTCAACCTTTAGTGCTGGAAGTGGCGTGTGTGTGTGTGTGTGTGTGTGTGTGTGTGTGTGTGTACCCATTCATCTCCTTTCTCTTTTGTGTCATTTTTTTCATTCATGTGTCTATCACTGCATTCAAACTAGTCTTGCTACAATTGTCAATGCCATCTTCCTAAATCCAGTGGGTGCTTTTTCACTCTTACCTCATGGGCTTTTTTCTGCTACACTTAACAATACTGATCACTTCTTTCTTCCTGAAACTCTACTACTCCAATTTCTATGCTATTTTTACCACTTCTTTGACTCTTTATGTCTCTTTGAAGGGTCCTATTAGTACTGAGTTTCCAGAGTTCATAGCTAAGTCTTTTTTTTATACTGATCTACCTCTTTTGGTGATCTGATTTTCTTTTATTAAAACACTTCTTAAAAACATGTTGCTTTGGGGTATTAGATATATGGATGGTCTCCAACTTATAAGGTTCATCTGTACATTTTTTACCTTACAGTATGAAATCTGGAAGGTATTAATAGTATTTGTCTTTAGATAATATTTTTGCTGTTTTATTTTCCATCCTTTCGTTTATTTCTGTTGCATACAAACCACATACTGTTTTTTTAATTAAATTATCAGTTTACATGCCCACATAAAGTAGATGAGTATTTGATAAATAGCAGGCTAACATTTAAGATTATAGAAAATTTTGTGGAAGATTAAATTTAGTACTTACTATTATTTCAGTTGCAAAACACCGTAAGGGATCATTTTCTGCTTCAGATTGTTCCAGGAATTGTACTGTCAGCAGTGGGCATTTTAAGCTTTTGAAACAACTAAAATATAAAAAATAGATAACTATAAATCCAACACTTCCCAAGTGTTGCCTAGATTTCATATATAATATTACATTAAAAAAACAAAATAAGCACTACTGGTTTGAATGTGTATTTCCTCCAAAACTCATGTTGAAATTAAGTTGCCACTATAATAGTAACAGGCAGGACCTTTCTTAGGTGATTACACCAGGCAGGCTCCACCTTCATGGGAGGAATTAATGCTGTTATAACACGTGCATTCGCCCCTCCTTGTGTCTTTCTACCATTCCACAGTCTGCTATATGATGACACAGAAAGATCATCATCACATGTTGGCCTTCATCTTAGATTTCTCTTTCTCTATAACTGTGAGCCAATACATTTCCATTCATTATAAATTACCCAGCCTCAGGTATTCTATTACAACAGCACAAATGGACTAAGATAAGCACCAGTAATTCAATGCCTATAAAATTAAAGATGTAAATGTCCTAACCTTACAAAGCAGAAGGCTAACAATAGCTCTAGTCTTCAAAATTAAAAAGTTAAATGAGTGCATTTGCTTTTCTAATTTGTAAAAATATCAATTCCTCATTAAAAGCCTATTCTATATCAGCCAAACCCCACAGTCTTCTAAAATTCAGTTTGAAACTAATTTGCATGACAAACATAATAACAAGGAGGGGCGAATTCACTCTTTATAACAGCTAACAAAGTAGCTAAACCATCAATCATTCAAGTACATTGTGAGATATTCTTTAAACTTACAATTTCAGTAATTCATCCTTTAATTTTTTGTTTTCATTTTCCTTGTTTTCTTTATTTTCAATAGCTTCTTCCACAAAAGGTTTAGCGAACTGTATTAAGGCCTTGCAACACTGACAAAGGCCATAGTCATCCACTTGTATTTGTTCTTTTGAGTAAGGAACAGGAAGAAGAGACAGTTGATTCCAAAGGGTAGATAATGCTAATCCAACTGAATATGGCTTGTTATTAGGAAGTTTCTGAATCACTAAAACACAGACCAAATTGGTATCAATTGTTACTTCAGCTTCATCAAGTTTGCTAAATGTAGAACACAAAATTCAGCATATACAATTATATGACACATTTTTCCCTCACACTTTAACAATTCTGAGCGGGATGACACAGCTTAATTGAGAGTGGTTTTTTCCTCTTTGGCGGTGAAGAAATTAATGAACTATCTTACAACAGAAGCTATGAAACCTTATTTATGTGTATTCATAACTGGTTATATACTTAAGGCACAAACATATTCTTTTCATATTTCTGGTTATAAGCACAAAATATAAATGGTAAACTATAAGGCACTGTACAAATGGGTGGCAGAATTATTAGATTTTATTCTGCACAATATTTTGAATATTTCAAGTGGCACACAACTTGTAAGCATTCATATTTAAAACCAATTCACTCTAATTTCTCAATCTCTCTAAGCATATTTCCTTAAATGAAAACTAGCCTCTACCCATGGATAAATACTACTCATCTTTATTGCCAAGACCTATTACTTCCCAATATTACTATACTCTGCCATGGGGGCCGGGGAGATGGCTCAGTGGAATAAGCACTTCCCTGGCAAGTGCAAGGGCCTGAGTTCAATCCCCGGTTCCCACCCCCCCCAAAAAAATTATACTCTGCCATTATGCCTTAATCCCACATAACACCTAATTTCACTCATCAGTTGTACTTTTACTACTCTCAATCCCAACCTCCCAATGTAGAGGCTGGGCAGTGCCCTGCTTGATACTCTTCTTAACCAACACATAAGATGGCCACAATGCTATCAGACTAAATATGGCACATACTACAGAGTTAAACTTTTATACATGTTTATAGGGAAATTTTTAAATATCAAGTACAGATAGGAGGGGTAACAAAAAAAAGCTGTAAGTTGCAAAAAGCACATGAAAAAGAGTACAACATTCAGGAAGATATTTATAGGGTAACCATTCTGGCACGGTTATTACAAATATATGCACAGTACTCAAACTTTGGTGTTGTGTTGACATTTAAGGGCAAAAATTAAGATACATGAGTAAAACAAGTACTATGATATAAAAGTATTTATTACCTGTTTGTAATGGCTGAAGTAAAAGAAGAATAACTTGAGATATCTGTTTTCCAGAGGGCTCTTCAATCAGTTCAAGCAAACCCAACAACAATTCCTTTGGATTACATAACTATAAAAATATTCACAATTGAACCTGTTTAATACAAGTTTTATTTAAAGCAATGTGATTACTATTTTTAAGAAAACATGCTAAGAAAATACAGTACTTGAGACCCAGTCCTAGCCCAGGTCCGGTGAGTGTGTGGAGAGCTTCCCGCTACCCTGTGCCGGCGGGACCAGTCCCAGCCCAGGCGCAGAGTGGGCCGGACCCTTTCCCATCCCCTCGGGCCACCCCACACCACTCTGCCGTACGTCCCCACCCCTCCCGATGAGTAGGAATTGCTGCCGACTTCCGGGAACCCCCAGAACCAGTCCTAGCCCAGGTCCGCAGCAGGAAGGAGCTGAGCACAGCAGCCAGACCTAAGCCAGACGCAGCTGGATAACTCCAAACTCTGTAGAG